CCTTCCATCCACAATCTCTTGCGTTTTCCAACTCACAAACGTTGTGGCTCCGCTTGTTTTGATTAGACGTTTTATCTTACTTTGCAAGTGTTCCATTCTGGTCTCCTTGTAATTTCTTTCCCTAGAATCAAAACTATTACCTTTGCTCAGTCGTCCTCGTTTTGCGAATATTGTTTTTCCCTGATCCGCTCCGACTTTGTTTAGACAGTATGCAAAGTTTTCCATAAATCCTGTCTTCTTAAAGTCTCCTGTTTGGATTAGGCTTGTTGTAGACGTTTCATCTTGGCTTCCGATTGTTCCTTTCTAGTCTCCTTGTGATGCGGAACCAGTCGTTAGAGCGAATGATCAGCTTGACAGTAATTACCGCCTATTTTCCATTTAACCGCGGTATCTATGGTCAAATATTTAGACTACTGATGGGATATCCATTCTCACCTCTTTTGGCAAATGTATACATGGGCAAAGTGGAGAAGGAATTCGAGAAGCCACCGCTCCAACTGACGGTGCTTATTCGACTCCCGGACGACTATTTTGCACTTCTTGAATATCGAGGTCATACGCTCTAACAGGGACCCTCATGAGTAGACTATTCAGGAAGCATACATTTGCGGGAATGATTCTCAATTTACAGTTCCGCGATAACTGCAAACTAAAGATAGGAATACTGAAGGGTTTGATTATCGGAAGCTCAAGACTAACGGACAAACTGACTCACAGTTGGCCTGGTGATGGGCAGCTCCAAGAATTTATACAACAAAATGTAGGTGTCATAAAGAGCAGATTTAAACTCGGACTTTATAAAAATAAGATCAGGAATCATGGGGACGACTAAGAGTGGATATATTTGCTCTCCTGTGAACTGATCCAAAAATTGTGTAAATTACTAAGAAAATTCGATAAAAAGGTGATACCAAAGGCGAAGACAACACTTTTGTCCAGTCTGCTGATGCAACAAGAGAGGATTGACAAAGTGGATTGCTGACTCTTTTTACCAGTTTTTCCTTGTCCAAACTCGTTAGTCTACACGAGAACTGCAACCTTTCTGTAGGCTCACAAAATCTGTATGCCTTTTCCCACTCGCTTATCCTTTACTACTCAGTTCACAGCAAGCAATACTACTTCCTATTGTTAGTACTTCCTAAATTGAAAAAAATTCGCAGAACTCTGGCTAAACGTAATAGAATATTGCCTCTGAAAGACCAAATTAATAATAAAGTTAATATCTCTTTGTTTTATCTGCAATTTAGTTGCTGTATTCTTCGGCTTAATCAAAAGCGAAATCTTCCGAATCACGAAAAGACATTGTCACCGTTAAGGAGTCTATTAACCTGTTTTGTTAATACAAGTCAGTATAATGTGCAGTTGATCAGTCTTTTCGGTTGTGACTAAATGAAAGAAGATGACAATTTTGCTAATTGGCGAAAATTATTGGTAGATAAACATGAATTTAGGTGATAGCAAAAGTGGGGGTGAAGAGGAAAATGACAAAAAAACATGATATTCAACATAAATTTGGCTATTGTTGTTGTTTCGAGCGCTTAAATGACTTTGACGTCTGATGGCGCCCTTCTCAATTCTTTGGGACTGGGCTTTGATACATGAAAGTGAGGCCAGAAAGTAAAAGGTTCTAGTTTCTTTATGAATAATTAAGTGTAGAATGCTCTCATGACAATATCTGAGGCCTGCTGCAGGTCTTTAGCCAAGAAGCTATTACAGTCAAAACTTGCAATGGAAGTTATCTTAATTGTTAAAAGTTGGTTGTAGGTCCTATAGGAGACGCATATAACGCTAGATAGAACCTCAGGCATCTATGAAATAGAGAGAACGACTAAAAAGGTTAATTGGGCCTTCCAGAATTCTACTGCAATTAAAATGCAATCAATAAAATCAACAAAAGGGGAAGAAAAATATGGCATCTTTTGAGAAGTAAACTGAATTATGCAAATGCCACCAAATGATTATTATATTGCTAAATGATGAGGGCATAAGTAGATAGAATTGTAATTAAAATTGAAATGGTAACAATGAAAATAAAAGTTCAAATAGTTAGCGCATTGACATTACAAATGCTATCTAAAGCAAGCCAAGAATCTGGGATATCGTGGTAAGTGAGAATGAATGCCTTAAAAAAATATGACTAAATTAGATGCTAAACTAGATATTTGGAAGCCTTCAACTTTTAACATTATTATATGATCATATTTTTTGCATTTTCCTATTTCGCCCATATTCTACTCTAGCAAGTACTTTTTGCCCCATTTTGTATTTAATTTATCCTCTGTTAATCATTTCGAGTATGTCTATATCGTTTTTATGCAAACGTGACTTATCCTTAATTGAGCTTATATCATTAAACTTTGTCTATGCTGGTAGAGATAAGGAGATATTATCCGTCTCGTCTGAAAGTTAAATGCAGTTTGGTTTATAAGACCAAGCCTGCCGCCTTGATGACCATTCTACGTCTTCTCAGTCTAGCTTCCTGCAATGAATAGGGTACTTGTGATTATTTGAAGTCCTTGGCACAACTTGATGTTGTGGATTAGGGCCACTTCAATCTAAAACTAAATGCCTCATTTGCTTATTTAAATCAGAATCATACACCTACCATTTGTGAAATATCTTTTTCACAGAGTATGCTATTTGACGAATGAAGTATTGTTTTCGTGACTACCAGTAAATAAGTAGTATGAGATGTATTCACCCAATTTCGTTTAAGGTGATGGAGGATTGGTAAAAGAAGAATTTTCCCACAATCATATGAGTAGAGCTGACGTTTCCATTCAATTACACACAGCCTTGCTTACCCTAAATTTGTTCTCATCTCATCTGAATTGGACTGCAGTTTCGACCTCGCATTAACTGGTCTTATCAACACCCCAAGCGGGATTCGAACCGCGACAGTGCAGGATGGCAGCTTGACACGCTAACCACTCGGCTACACTGCTACGAGCGCCTTTTGGGTCACAGAGAAAATGTAAATTTTCAACGAAGGCCATATCATATTCATTTATGTTACTGATTTACTTTATTCGAAAAATAAAGTATAGTAGTAGATTGTTATAGCAGATATACGTTTGCTTCATCGACAATTCCACGAAAAGAATAGGTAAAGCAAGGCAATGTGAAATTGAATGGAAACGTCAGCTCTACTCATCTGATTATAGGAAAATTCTTCTGCCAGTCCTTCATCACCTTAAACGAAATTTGGTGAATACATCTCATACTACTGATTAACCAGTAGTCTCGAAACTCTACTTAAATACGAAAAAATAAGTGTTAGATTAAGCCTAAAGCCTGTCTCCCTACATCCAAAGTGCTAGTGTACATCGAAATCTACAAATAAGTCTTCCTGTGCAATGCTACGAATAAAAAGTACGAAGGCCACTGGTATTTACAGCACAGTGCCTGCAATGGCCATCTTTGCTAGACTCACAACACATTTTTAGGCATTTGGAAGGGACACTCGTAAGCTCGATTGCAAGTCGCTCTTGTGCTGCAACACGAACACTTCGCAAAATGCCGAAAATTGACTCAAAAGGGGGCAACTTTCTTGTACTATGAATAAACTGGCTTAATATCATAATGTTTCGGAGACAGCCCAAGTCCAGAGAGATTCAAGCGACCTCTACAGCCCATGTTGGCAACCCTTCCTATGGATTAACTACGGGAATATCATAAAGTATCACAGAGTTTGCCAGCTTTTGGAGCTGTTGACATTGCTGAGCGAAATAGGAAAAAAAGTAGACATCCTCTATTCCTACTCTATTCACCCTATTTCATTTAAGGTGGTGAACGACTGGCAGCTTAATTTTACCACAATCAGATGAATAAATTTGGATGGAAGTACCTTCTGTAGAGCAAGGCTATGTGAAATTCAGTGGAAACGAAAGTTTTACTCATATTACTGTGAGATAAATTAAATTACCAGTCCTGCATTACCTTAGATGAAAATATAAATCGACTACTATACTTTATTTTTCGAATTAAGTATTGTTTTCGTGACTACCAGTCGAAAGTGCAGTCTACTTG